CGTGTAGGGCTACCTTAACAATTGTAACATATACTTCCATTCCATTGTATTTAAGACACATTAAACATTCAAATGCAAGAATAAAGTTACAATTTTAGCATACAGAAGGACATTTACGTATCATTTTTTGATAGTTTCAATGAATTTCTAGTAATTCTGATGAAGTCAATAATGAATAGTAAATAATGGTAACTAAACAGGTCATAACTAATTTTTTAGCTCCTCCCCATCCCGAAAATTATTTTTAGTAAATGTATAGTATAACGCTGTCTTCTCCGATTTGTTTGTCATTGTGTAAATTTGTATATTTTCATGCACGGGATATATTCTGCTAATGTATATAACAATACCTGCAAAATAGCATGATTTAATATTCGCTCGTGACCCATTTTGCTCGGTTCTTTAAGGCTATATATAGTATCACATTAAAAGGATATTTGATACACATGCATGCAATTAATTGTTAACAGTACAAATTTACATTTATTTTATGTTTTATTTAATAATAGTAATCAAGAATGGATTAAAATGGATCGAAATTTTTATGCATATTTTAAGCCCATTGAATTCAATTGAATAAAAAAAACTTTTTTAGTCTTATTCTCTTTTTATCTTATTCTTTTTTTAATCTTATTTCTTTAGTTCTTATTATTCTGTTCCATTGAATCTAATTGAATAAAAAAAAGTTCTTTTCTTTATTCAATTGGATTACATTTGATTCAACTGGATTCATTTGAATTGAAAAAATGCATCTCTTATTCAGAATTTTGAATTGAACAATATACATGATGCACAGAAAAAAGTTAATATTATTTTTATATTGAAAGGCATAGAAGAAATGCGTTTCATACAATTCCTATAAATGAATAAAAATGCATTCAGATTAAAAAGAATTTATTTTAACGTTCGCGAATATATATTTCTGAATATCTGAATCCATTTCAATCCATTCTCGTTACTGAGTAAAATGTGATTTTTTAATTTATACGTGTATGTATTCAAAATATTGTTAAAACACCATTTAATATAGAATATAGTGTTGTAACAGGCATCTTTTGAAAGATATTTAAGTATAGATTATACACAGATACTGTGTAGGAAAAGTATCTATTTTAAAAAAATTACCTTATAGATATAGATACAGATATAGTACAGAAGTACCTGAAAAATTTAGTGATTTTTTAAATATTTTTTATTTTAAAAAACAAATTGCGTAAACAAATTTTACTTTTATGTCACTCTACTACTTATGCAGCACACTTACAAAAATGTTTGGATAATTGTCTTTTGTCATATGCTTTCTAAAAATCAATACTGTTTTAAACATTGTATTGGAAAGTCGATTTTTTCTGGGGATTAAATTAATTTTATAATATAATAATATAATATATAGATCAATGAGATATACATTATACAGGATGTCCCGCAATTTTTGACAAAGCGCTCTTATGTATATAGATAGAGCGGATTAAATTGAGTCGAAAAACTCTCTACAATTTTGTAACTTTCGCAATGGTTAACGAGATATTGATTTATAAAAATAGCCAAATTCGCCCGGCCTATCACCAAATGCAAACGGGCGACGAGATAAGACTGCCCAGTGAGGCGCGTGTTCGCCGTCACTAATAGGCACGTTAATGCCAATGAGTTCCACTTAACGTTCACAACGCTCGCATGCGTCATTTCATCCTTATTGTTTAACATTTGATGACAATGAGGATAAAATGATACTCGCGAACGTTGCGAACGTTAAATGGAACGCATCCAATGTCGTTTGTAAACAACTTGCCTAGCGACGAAAAACGTGTGCAGTCTTATTTCGCCGTGCGCTTACATTTGGTGGTAGGACCAAGTAAGCCAAGTAAATTTGGTTATTTTCATAAATTAATATCTCATTAACCTTTGCGAAAATTGCAAAATGATACAGGACTTTTTGACTCACATCAGTTTAGTCTGCTCTATTTACACAAGGGCACTTTGTCAAAAATTGCGGTACATCCTGTATACATACTCGTATAGACCATGCATTCTGTTCGTAGCAATCGTAGCTTGAAGCCGGAAGATGATAGCCCTGATGGAAAAATTTCGCTGAAATTATTTTACGTGGAACATTTTTCAGTAAAATTTCAGCATTTTTAAAAAATTTCAGTTTAATTTCAGCGATTTTTAGTTGAAAAATTCATTTTCAGCAAAATTTTAACAAAATTTCAGACAAATTTCAGTAAAAATTTCAGAAAAATTTCAGCAATTTTTCAAAATGTTAGTTGAAAAATTCACTTTTAGTGAAATTTCAGCAAATTTTCAGCAATTTCGCTGAAATGTTCCAAAACGTAGAATAATTTCAGCGAAATTTTTTCACCAGGGAGTTTAACAATAAGGTCTGTGATTTCGTTGCACCTCTTTCTGTCTTCAAAGAAAGCAGAGATAACATGGCATCTTAACGGTTACTGCAATGATCACAATCAAATTGAAGTACCAAATTTGACGTATGCAAAATGGATAGATTATTAATGAAATAAGAAAGAAAAAAATGTTGAAAATGTAACTTTTAACATATAACCTATAGTGACAGATAAGATTCGAAGACGCTTCTTCGACTAACTGCACACAAATTCATTTTATCATAGATTTCTTTAAAATACGAGATTATAACAGTTAAAAAAATTACGATTGTAATGGTCACAAAAAAGTAATAGGTCATCGGACATTCTGGAAAGATATTTAAAGTTGAAATGGCAATATATCGAATGAAATCTTTCGAATGAATATTTCGAATGAAATTTCTTTTCATTTTGTATAATTTGGATAAAGGCAATTTGCAAATTTGGTAATAATTGCCACATATTATTTTTCATCTTATTTTTCTCTTTTACAGAAGAGTCATCTGTGCAAAATATCTACAAGTGAACGTGTATACCTAATAAGATTTTGTAGAATCTAAAAAATAATGATAAATATAAAAAGACTCGATAAATTCGAATTATATGTAAAAATTAATAGTTATAACGAGTTATTGCTGGTTCTTAATTGGAAACTTTTAATAATAAAATCAAATACAATAATTAAAAACAAACGTTTCGATCTACTATTAAGTCATTTTTAACGTTGAATAACAATATTATCGTAATAAGATCTTTGAAATTGTCAATAAATACATGTTTAAGGTCAATATGTAAAATATCAATTTCGTTAAAAAACTGTAATCTTTTTTTGCATAATTTATTTAGGTTTTAATTCATTATATATTTATACTTAAGCGAATTGAACAAAACCCAATCTTTACACCTAAAAGCATTATAAGTTCTCTGGCCAATATATCGTCATTTAAGATATTTCTTCGAGAAATTGAATTTCTACAGATTTTTTTTAAATTTGGATGTTATGTTTAAAATAATTTTATCTATATATGATTAAAATTTCAAAGACTCTAGCGGTGCCGAAATGGAGATATTCACCTTCAAAGTTTCAGCTTTTAACATGTAAATTCCTATACCAAGCCTTGCTGAAGCAACGTTTTAATACTTTGCGGCGAAAATCTTCTACAGATTTAAAAAAAATAAATATGTATAATATAGAAATATTATAGGAACCTTATAAAAAAAATGAGGAGGCCTAGCGGAGTCGTTTCTTAATTAGAGTAGTTTAAATTTGTAATTTGATGAAATTCTTCTCGCACACCGAGAGACGAGACAGGGACATGCTGTTGTCACATTTCAACTGTCTTCAGTGAGGACTAGTGTTCGTGCACACAGATACGACATTAATCTGTGTGTGTACGTGCGTGCGTGTGCGTGTGCGTGTGCGTGTGCGTGTGCGTGTGCGTGTGCGTGTGCGCGTGTGTGTGTACGTTCGCCTCAAAAGTTTCTCTGTTCAGAGAGTACGCGCGGAGAGGCATATTCGTAGGTTGTACGCGATTAATTTTCTAGCGCGATTGTAGCCGGAGAAATACCTTAAGTCTATGGAACATAGAAAAATGTAAGTGAATTGACCAATCACAGTAGAGACCATAAAGTCTGTAGCGAATCCAATGTTATGCGTCGTCTACAATACACGGAGTAAGAAGTAATTAAGAGTAAGAAATTGACCAATCACAGTCGATTATTCTTCTCACATTCGATTTTTATTGATCAATTTTTCGTACGCTTACTTCTTACTCTATGTATTGTAGACAATGCATCACGATTTCCTTACTGCTTGTATTATTACCTTACGTTTTTATATGTGCCATGGACTTTACGGCTTACGGCTTACAGCCTCTTAAAGCAAGATTGTGGACCTAGACTTAAAATACCTAGATACTGTACCTAGATTACAATATTGATAGAATACTATACATTAGTTATAACATATTTTTGAATACTTTAAATCAGGCCTGTAGTCGAGTTGCACATTTTGACCGACTTTGCCTATCCCCAGGTAGAACACGGAATCATAATTAAGTCATAATAGTATCACAGGACGTCATCATGACATCATTTGATACCTAAAAATTGACTTATAAGACAAATGAGGTCATGATGATGTCCTCATGACTTCTGTGTTCTAGTTGGGTCGTCATCCCCACTCCTTTTGTTTCATAGCATTTAAGACCGTGCGTGGAGACATAAAACGCTCGAACTCAGGAATTATATTAGCCGTAACTCATACAGAGTACTATAGAGCTATAGGACTTGGAAATATATTCCCTCACATTCATTGTTTACAAATTTTAACACGCACGCACGCACGCACGCACGCACACACACTTATTTTATTTTATTGATTTATTTATTAAAAATGATTTTTTAAATATTTTTTTCAGTACGCAAACTTAATTAACACATGTGTTCTATTTTGAAGTATTACTTTTGAGTTTCTAACATCATAATAATAATAATTATAATAATAATAAAAATTTGTAAACAGTAAATATAAGGCAATATGTTTCAAAGTTTTACAGCCCTATAGTGCCCCGTATGAATTACGGCTAATATCATCCCTGAATTCGAGCGTTTTATATCTCCGCGCACGATCTAAATGCTATGAAACTAAAGGAGTAGGGATGACGGTAGGCAAAATTGGTCGAAATGTGCAACTCGGCTGCAGGCCTGTTTTAAATAAATATATAGTTGTATATATTGCTACGTTACATCATAATAATAATTCAAAAGTTTATTGCTTATCAAGATTATTACATTAATTTATTTCATCGATCACTGTACGTACATACAATTTACATCAGAATTAATATCAGAAATAGTTATATATATTTCAAGAAGGTCACGAAAATCAATTACGAAAAAAAGAAGAATGCGATGTTATCGTAAAGTCTAATAAATACTCTGAGGCAACACTTATCATCTTGCAAGCAGAAAGTTAAAGTTAAATAAAGAAGATTTCACATGTCGGATTAATGCGATAGTTAAAGTACATATATGATATAGTTAAAATACGTAAGTAATATATTACTTAAATAATTACAAAATTAATTACAAAAATTATAAAAGATTGAACATGGAACAAAAATAAAATAGGTCTTTTATAATTACATATTAAGATATGATAAGAACTGATTTTCATAAAAGTAACGTCCAAATATATTATACCATATCAAATTTATCGAAAAGGAAAAAGAAAAGCATTTGATTAATAAGTCAATACTGTGTCCAAATAACGTGATTGTAGGAACATGCGTCGTTTCGTATGTAACATGTAATCGTATGCCAACAAAAAGTTGTGATTCTGTTTATCATGTATTATCATTAAATATTGATAAAAATAAATATAAATTGCTCTTGTGCACGTATACATATAGCAGTCTCGACAACGTTCGTGACATAATATCGTTTCACACTGATTATGTTTGTGACTATTAATGTACAACCGGCCATGTATATAATTACATCATTTATTGTAAAATAGCATCACAATGCAAACTTTGGTAATTATTGCGAAAAGGTTAAACCTCACCAATGACTTTGATTTTTACATATAATTAAAGTCAATATAATCCTGAGTCACGTACACTTTGAATTGCGTGGCAGTTAGAAACTCTTCTAGTTTCTAATGTATTGAATTTTTATTCCCAACAATTACAATTACAATTTTTCTTATAGCGCGGTCCTATGGTGTGAAACGTATGCGCAATGCAGAATTGGCGGAACGCTCGTGATTGATTTAATCCATTTTACGTTCGTTCCACCGATTTTTATCCGCAAGTTTTTATGCGCATGCAATGTACGGAATGGTACGGAATTGTCAGAATTGTGAGATTTTGTGTGAAGAATAAATTGTTTTTTAACCGAATAAGATTTGTAGAGTTTTGCAGTTTGGATTTCTTGAATTTTGACGAATGTATATACACGCATATACACGTATTTCTTCTTCTTCTTCTTTAATTAATGGCTCACGCCTCTAAATAACAATAGGAGGTCGATACGGCCAGATCATGATTGTTTTCCGTGTATTAAAAAAAAATAATGCAACACCCGCGAAAATGGCTAAGCCCGTTCGAACACCGGGCGCCTGCGTCTATGGCGTCGTCACGCCGCAAGGACGCACGTCAGGACGACCGAACGGATCGTCCAAGACCGCGGGATGATTATGTGTGTTTCAATGCTCGGTCAAAGTCGGCAACACTTTCAAAAATATACAATAGTTATAGCACCCGAGTCGAGGCGCGTCCGCCACGAGCGAGTGGTTCATCAGAACTGGCATATACACATATGTATGATTCCGATCCGCATGAGTTCGTTTCCTTATGTCCCATGGTGCGGAAAAACGCAGAAGCGTAATCTATGCGAGCCAATAATATAACTGTTCCAATAGATACAACGGAGGGATCTATGGGAAAGATCTCTTGTGATTGGCACAAGCCAATTACGCTTCCATGAGTTCCGCTCCATGGGACATAAGAAAAGACATATCAAGCTTGTTCGCGTCATATGCTCCAATATGCTCCTATTATAGCTCTTACTCACTCCAACGCGCTTGATAGAGTGAGTAGAAGCTATGGTAGGAGCATGTTGGAGCTTGCGACGCGAATAAACCTATCGACGGAACACAATTGACGGAATGCTTGCGATTGAACGGACATCGTTCCGCCAATTCCGCATTGCGTATATCTTCCGCACCATGGGACCGCGCCATTACTGCACGCGTTAATTATTCATACTTCTCTTGTATTCAATATGGCAAAACGTTATCCACCTGTATTTTAATATAATAAAACGGAATAACGTCTTATTTCTGCGATATGTATGTATATAATATTAAATATATGTGTATATAATATTAAAAACCACCCCACCTCCCTCCTGCTTAGGGGCGTTCGATTTTCCACGCGAAGCGATTCGAGGTCCACCCCACCTCCTCCCTCTGTCTAGGGGCGCATGACTTTGCGTATGTACCTTACAATGCAAAGCGAGGGCCATCCCACTAAAATATGGATTGAATTAGGTTATTTCTTTTGAGGAATGCTGCTCCCCTGCGAGGGGGAGGAGTACTCCATATATTGCCTCCACGCATACACTTTACAACACGAAGCGAGGACTATCTTACCTCCCCTCCTGTCTAGGGGTGGATTTCTTGCTTCGCGTGGAAAGTGATCTGAATGTAATCGGGAATAAAAATATAATATATACTTTATAAGTCTTTTATCATATCTTAGAAACTAGAAGAGTCCGCCACGTAATTCAAAGTGTGCGTATGTGACTTAGGATTATATTGACTTTAATTTTATGTAAAAATCAAAGTCATTGGTGAAGTTTAACCTTTTTTGCAATTAATTACCTAAATTTTAATGAAATAAATATTATACTAGCAGAATACTCGATGATATATTTAATAATAAAATAGTACTCACGTCGATGCCTATAAGCGTAGGACGAATGTAAAGACTAGAGGCGGTAGAATGTGGAATCCATTCTTGGTCTATACTAATTAATCTGCAAATGCACTTAATTAATTCTTCCCCTCTGAAAGGTGGTAGACCAGCTCTTACTGCTGAATTATTCATTCTTTCCATATTTAACTCTGGTCGAAACAACCTTATTTTGCCATCAACACCTCTGTAAGCTTTCATACCTTCGAACAACTGAGGAAAGATTTATACATATGTTACTACTGTCAAGTTAAATCACACAAGGAATTTCAGCTTCACAATAATTTGTATACGTATGTACAAGTCTGATAATCTCTGCACATCCTACAGTTTTAAATATATTATATGTACACTTTTTAAATCTAATTCCACAGAGATAGTAAAATATCTTCTAAGATCGCGATTATCGATATTAACCCTTCATGGTCATACTGGGTCGAAATGACCCGAGCATCATCTTTCATGCTAAATTCTAATACATGTTTACAATTTTTTTTAGTGTTAAAATTAAATTTTTCACAAAAACGCCACCGTTCCATTTTAAAGGATCCACATTAAGGATCCATATTAAAGGATGAAATTTAATATAATGTATTTTTTTTTTAAATCATTGCAACTAATACTGTCGATTTGGTGATACTTCAAAGATGAGTCGGGTCTTTTAATTCAGAGTAACTATCATGTAGAGTTAAATATTTTTGATAGAAGAATTTCAAGATAATATATATATTTTTTCATGGAAATTTTATATTAAAGAAGACTTCTCAGCTTTCATACGAAAGAAAAATAATTCTATCTTAATTATGCTAAATTATTGAAACAAGAGTGCCATTAACATTATAAGCACTACTGACAAGAATGATATGTACATAATCAAATATTAAAAACAATATTTTTTCTAAGTATTATACAAAAGAAATTTGCTAAACATAATAAAAAAATAAGCGATAAATCAATAAAAATAAATTAATTTTCTAATACTATCTCACATATCATCTTCGAAATACGAAATATAAATACCTCCATAGCATAATGAAGTACTTTCGCAGCTGGATGAAGAACTATATTTTCGAAAGGCATAATTTCTGGTGCTTGCCAACCATTCATGCCTTCGTAATAATGTATTTTGAGCATGTGATCAGTGAAATATTTTCCAAATGAAAGCTTATTAACATCAGGTTTAGGATTTAACTGATTTGGTCCAGCGAGGCGGACAGATAAATCTGCATACTGATAAAAACATACTGAATAAATTAGGCTTTCAATTTCATCTATAATATATTACATTTTACTTAATTATTCCTATCGTAATAAATAAATACCTTAAAGAAACGTTGCGGTACAGAATTCTTGTCTTTAGTTCTCAAAGAAGAGCTCCATCTAACACTCTGTTGTAGCTGATTAATCACATTTCCGAAAAATAAAATCTAGAATAAGAACATAATTATTCTATACATTTATTTCTGTCTCTAGTAAAAAAAAGTTTATTATAGCAATTTAGAAACTCCAAGTCCGCAATTACGAAAATTCTTAATAATTTGGACATTATTTTCATATGTATGTAATAAAGCTCAAAGTTTACAAATTTTTTTTCATTTAATTACAAATATTCTGTATGGAAAATAAATTTTATCTTTGTGAGTGAGTGAAATAAAGATTTTATTCTTACTGTGTTTATTTTAATATCCCCATAAATGGAATTTTAAAAAAATAAAATAAATTAGATAAGCCTTCTTCAGATTAAATACCTTATATTGTATTTCTCATTTTAACCAAAGTAATATGTTATCATTACAAAAATTTTTAAAACGGTAAAATAAAAATAAAAATTTTAGAATTTTATTTTTATCTTTGAATATCGTATTAACTGTAAAAAATCTATGCTAAAGCATGTTCATTAATGATATACTTCGAAAAATTTGCCTCGTCACTTAATATGTGCCGCTAATTTTAATCTTTGTTAATAGAATCGACGAAGCCAGTCAAGAACTTCATCGAATTATAAATGATAAGAACATATGCGTCATGCGATCATTTTAATTTTTGTGCCGTAAATTGAAAAGATTGAAAATTTCAGCCTTAAAACCATTAAAATGTTCGATATAATGAATTCATCGTCTATTAATGTAATTATTTGTTATACGGAATGTAGATCAGTAAAATTCTAAAACATATGACGTTATATGCTCTTATCACACTTATCAGTTAAAGAAGTATATATCTAACTATAAGAGAAACGTAAGTCTATACATATACATTGACATAAACATCAGCTAGACATTATATATTTATTTGATCCTTCTTTTACATACAAAGCACACAAATACTTTTAATATTTTTGAAGAATATAAGTTGAATATAAGTTGAAATATTATCTTCTAGACTAAACTTTGCGCTACGGTAACGAAACTTGAATTATAGGCAATACTCGCATACATAATACATGAAAATTAGAAGTTATTTAAATGGATCTTCGCTTTTCAAGAATTTTCAGGGTAAAACAGGTTGAAACAATAACCAGTAGCATTCTTTCTCGAACAAGAAAAAATTTAAATGATTGTATGTATTGTATATACTAAAATAATTACTATTTAAAGTAACCGGAACCATATGCCTTAAGATTTGAGATTTTTTCTAATTTTTTGCTGAGTCCAAAATTGAAAATTAATGCTCATATTTAAAAGAGGAAACATTTTTGAATGCTTATAAAAATAGTTTTAAATATTTATAGGTGTTAAACTTTATAGTTTTCACCGTCTTTTTTGCTTGAAAAATGTATTTACTTCAATAAGAATATGAATTAACACATCAATCAGAATATTTTTCATTGTTTTCTATTATTTTGTCCCATTTTTCTGGTAAAAATATATAGCACTTATTCGTGTTAACCAGAAGACAACCAAAACTTAACATTCTCCTTTTAACATAAGAATGTGATGTTAAGCTTTAAGACAAAAAACGCGCTACAAATAACAATAAAATGATAATAAATTATTAGTTAATAATTATTATGGCAAATTATTAATTAATTAATAATTAAGAATAAAATATTCTGTGGGGCGGAGAGAAACGCGTAAAACTTATTATAAAAATGTAAGATTCTTGTTTTAACCATGGTATAAAGACGAGAGCTTACGCGCATGCTATATGCATGCGACCAATCAAAATTGTAAAAATGTGACGTTACAGATAAGCGGTAAATTAAAAACTGCTGTTTCCAAATAGCTTATGTTAGCAGCATGCTCGTCAGATATATCATTTTAATTTCAAGTTTACAGGAAAAATCTATTTTAAAATAATATTTTATAAACTAATAAAAATATCCTGTAACTTAACTAATAAATATCCTGTACTTTTCTTTCGACAGCTATGAAGTATGATACATCGACATGTTGAGAATATATTATAGCTAAATACAAGCAAGATTATATATAGTTTACTTCGTTACATTTATACATTTACAAGAAATAGAAAATCTTACCTTTTTTGATGTTAATGTTTTGTTTTCCGCATGCTGCAACCCACTTAACTGCGATCGTAAAATCTAGGCTTTCGGAAACGAAAAATATTTTATGCTGTTCCCGTTAAGCAATTTTGTTTTCCGAAAATAATTGCCACAACCTTTCACGGAACAAGACATTACATATATAATATCCACAATTAAAAAGGAAAAGAGATTCAATTATGCGTTTTTACTAAAATCATGTTTCTCCGGATACAAACATTAAGGACCAGGGGCTACCATGTTTAATCGAACCATTCGAACGGTCTGATTGGCTCTGAGTGTGATGTCACGCTTTGACTGCGCAATGGGTTACCACGTAATGAGCATACCACCCTTGTCTTTATATCATGGTTTTAAGTACATACTCGAGAATATAAAATATGTCCATTTATATACAATTATATAAAATTATATATATTTTTATATAATTATATATAGGTAAAATATTTCTGGTTATAACTTTTCAACAACGTGTGTTTTTATCAAATAGTCGGAAATTCGTATCTCTCAAAAGAATTTGTTTTGCCTGCTGATAACATACTTATTATTCTAACGAAAATAATATATTAACGTCCTAATTAATGTTTAAAAATGACATTTTAACGTTTTGATTTATTAGAGATATATATTAGATACACACAGAGAGAGTATTATTATATATATATTATTATTATCATTATTATTATTACTGTTTGACATATATTTAGAGAAAATGTAAAATTGTAGGTCAATGGGTATATAAAATGTATACATTTCATTTAATGTTATTCATTGGAAATCGTATGCGAACGAACATGACTTGATTAAATTGAAAATGAACGATCCGCTGACATGTTGGCATAAACGCATTGGCATAAATATTACTCTATTCGTTTTATTCTTTTTCAACTTTGCTATTTTCTATTTTCTATTTTCTCTCTTCAAAGCATAAATATTAGAATAATACAAATCTTTGTATTTTATATGAAGATATATACATATATATGTACATATAGTACATATAGAAACATAAATATGAAGTAGTATATATAAATATTACAGTTATTTAATTAGAAATATAAATGATATAACAAATACAGTTAAATGTACTAATTTCGTATTTAAATAGACTTGAATTAAATTAAAATTATAAGTTAGCAAATATAAGATTTGTATTTGAAGAGAAATATGTGTGACGTATATATAGCTGTTTTGAAATTCTCACATGTTTACGATATATGTTACAAAAATATGAATATTTTCTGGGAAAATGTATCAACATTTAAGGATAAAAGTTTAAGTCCGTTAATTCGATTAAATAATACAATACATATAATAATATTTCAAATACAAAATAATAGCGACATTATAATAATATTGTATTATTTAACCGAATTAATGAGATTATAAATTTTCATTCTTAAATATTAACACATTCTTCAATAAAATATCCATATTGTTGAAATATTTTGTGTCGCAAATTCACTAATAATTGAAGATTTCATTCCTCGAAGAGCATTAAAATTAAAAAAAAAAAAAGAAGAAGACATTTTTGTACATAATATCAACATGTGCATGTTTAAAATTGATCTTATTGATAGGTGAGATATACGAAGGCAAATCAATAAATACCTGTGTTAGTAATGAAGACGCAAGATTTTCACAAAACTTTTTTTTATTTTTCAACGTAGTCCCCTTTTAGGAGGATACACTTTTTCCAACGTTCTTGCCATTTTTTTAACCCCTCCGAAAAATACGATTTATCGAACTCTGCAAAATAGACCTCTGTTTCGGCAATGACCTCCTCATTCGACGTGAATCTTTTTCCACCGAGCCATTTTTTCAAGTTTGGAAACAAGAAGAAATCACAGGGGGCCAAATCCGGAGAGTGGATGCGACAGCAATTCGTACCGCAATTCGACCAATTTGGCTATGGCGACTGCGGAGGAGTAAACCAGTGCATTGTCCTGATGGAACAACACTTTTTTTTTCGCCAAGTGGGGGTGTTTTTTCTTCAATTCAACATTGAATCAGCCCAATAAGTCAGCATATTACTGCCCCGTGATTTTGCTTTTCCCCATGTAGTCGATGAAGATTACGCCTTGCGTATTCCAAAAAACAGTGGCCATCACTTTTCCGGCCGATGGGACCGTCTTGGCTTTCTTCGGAACACGTTCGCTGGGTGAAATCCACTGTTTTGACTGTACCTTGGTCTCCGGTGTGTAGTAATGAATCCATGTTTCATCAACGATTACTACTCGACGCAAAAACTCCTTCGGATTATGCTTGAACAGCTCCAAACATTGCTTTGAAATTGATAGCCGCATTCGTTTGTTGTCCACCGTGAGCGGCACCCATCGGGCCGACAGTTTTTTCATTCCTAAATTATCATGCAAAATATTGAATGCCGTTAAATTCCATACGACACGCCTATGGCCTCTGCTACTTCATGTACTTTCGTTCGGCGATCAGCGAGAATCATATCGTAGACTTTTTCAACGATTTCCTCAGTAACCACGTCTGCCGGACGCTCCTTATCAAAAACAGACGAACGACTACGTTTAAATTCGTTGAACCAATATCTGACGGTTGTCATAGATGTTGAAGGGTTCCCATAGACGGCATCCAACTTCGTTTTTATTTCTTCGCACGTTTTTCCATCCAAAAATAAAAAGCGAATCACGGATCGATATTGTTCTTTTTCCATTGTATCGGAAAACAAACACTCTCACTACGAATTGCTGTCAAATCAAGACTATTGCATGAATCACTCTGAAATTTTGTGGCGTCATTTGAAAAATGGTAGTACACGATGGTAATGCCAATTTGCATCAGCAACGTCACCTGTCTTCAAACACGGGTACTTATTGATTTGCCCTCATAAGATCTATTTGTATAGAATATTTTGCAAATGCTAAGTCGACATGACACGTTTTAAAGATCATAAAATCATTTTTCTAGTTTACAACGTTTTTATAATTTTAGGATGTTTTTAAATATTATATAGGACGTTTAGTACCACATTGGATTATTTGCATTAAATAATTGATTATTGTATCAAGAAATATAGGGCGAAATTCATAGTCAGTTATTTTAAGATCTTAAATAATATCTTAAGATACTAACGCGGCTATATGATTGGCTTATGATATCTGAAGACAGTAGCAAATATGAGAATCGAATACCGGGCATACTATACATATTAGGATATAATAATCTTCATGCGTACAAAAGTCATAATAACTTGGATTTTACATGTGAAAAAACTTATATTTTCCAAGAGATTTTTTTTTAAATAGCTTTTTTTTTATTTATTTAAAGTATTAATAGACCTCATAGTTTTATACATCAACATACATGCATTTCGTATATTAATTTGAAATAAAACATGAGGTCTATGTCATGAGATATCTGATAGTGTTTTTCATTGGTAGATGCGCCCTCAGTGCAACGCATTGAAGCCGTTGTACACTAATATAATCTGAATGTAATAGTGAGACATCTCAATTGATCAAATGCTCAATGTATGCTTTATCAAATAGCACAATAAAATGTATTGAGGATTTCGCGGTTTAACTCGTTTCTATATTTTTATTAAACATATATTTTTACGTCGATTTGTGTACAACGGCTTTCCCGTATAAAAATATATTACTAGTGCAATAAATAAATTCGAATAGTGTGTGTGTAATAGTGGTGGAGAAAGTTTCATTAAAATTACACTGAAATTTTATTGTGAAAATAAGTATTATTGATTAGCATCATATTTCAGAGGATACACGACAAAATTATAATAAGAAAAAGTTTCCTTTATGAATTCTAGAACTAATTTTATGCATCATAAAATTTTATGCATCATAAAATGCACTAGTAGTATATTTTTATTCGGGTTAAAATGCGTTGAACGCGCATCAGTTCTGTCAATGAAAAATGCTATAAAATGAGACATAAGACATTTTACCAATGTCGTAAAGTTATTCATCTGTTAATTCTATATGCTTTTAGTTGTATTCCGATAGCTGCATCGAAAATTAAGATGGAATCACACGATGCTCGATTTGCAGGTACCGCTGTAACTAACTTAGCTGTTTCGTAATGGATCAACTGATACTGTGATTTCCATTTGTGTTGTTTAAGAGAGAAGTGCTTTTTTATTTTTTATTGTAATAATTAATTAAGAACGTACAAACATATATAAATAAAAAAAATATGATCACATTATTTTGCACAAAACCATATTATATTTCTGTACTTTAGAATATATACTTTAATATACAATAAATTTTATTATTATGCACCAATGCGCAATAAAGCATTTAATGTAATTCGTTAACATAAATAATAAAAACTTATAGCTTTTAACTTCATATATTTCTTTAGGATTTATTTAACTAGTCTTCTAAATTACTAAAGTCAAAATTTTTATTATAAAATATTTTAATAAATAATATATTGTATATATGTGTATAATGATAAATAATTAAATATAAACTATTATAATAAAAAAATGTGTAAAACAATACCACTATCTTAAAAACAAGTGGAACTACAAATGGAAATCACAGTATCAGCGATTACGGAATACAGCTAAGTTAGTTAGAGGCACTACCAATCTCGTAACTAAAAAGATAATTTTTGTCATAACTAACGGAACCCAACCTTTATAATATTAAGACATATTTAAAACACCTTAGGATTGTCTTTGACTGTTTGTACCAAAATATTAGATTGTTATATTAAAATGTATACTTCAACAAGAGTTATACAAAGTTTTTCTTAAATAAAACACATAATTTTCGACAGAATCTTTTTTTATTCTACAAAATATCTTTAGACTATGGCAAAATTATTTGAACAGAATATCGGCCAATTAACTAGCTACGTTTACACCATGCGCTTAGTCCGCGACCTATACGATAGGTGTCTTTGTTTAACCTACAGGATAAACAAGGACATCTATTGTATAGGTCGCGGTCTAAATGCACGGTGTAAACGTAGCCATTATCTCGACTCTTCTTGCAGACTCTGATACGCTCGGTGAAATTTTTGTCATTTTGACACATTACTGGCTCAATCTCAGCAATGGACTAGACATTCACATATTGATGATATTTTTATGCTTATACCAATCCAGTTTCCTCAAACTTTTTCTATATTGCGGCTGGTGAGCTCTGTTGGGCGTTGGGCAATTATGCTGGCCAAAATAATCATAAAGATTTCGGAATATGATTCTGGCTGCGGTCCACTTGACGCTACAAACGCTTCGAAGCGTTTGAGTGACAAATCGGTACAAAGAATTTTACGAATTGACTAATCAAAGAATGCTTCGAAGCGTTTGTAGCGTCAAGTGGACCGCAGCCTCTGATGACATTCTGCGAATTTTTATAAAATGTTTGAATAATTTTCACACGTGATTCAATGTTGTATCGCTCAATGTGATACATCACACTAAATTGCCTTCATCTCAAGATGACACATGTCAACGTTAGTCGAGTTTATGGATGCGTTTCGAAGTTACATCTGGACAACTTTGCATAACTCTTGTTGGATGACGCTGTAATTAGCTAAGATAATCTCAATTGTATATGATTTACAAGAGTATTGCATTGAATGTTGCACGATTTTTATTAGGACTTTTAACAAAGTTCAATTTTTAAAGAATGATTTATATTCATTAATTAGTTAAAATTTAGATTTTAAATCCAAAGTACCGTTTTGTTTATAATTTATAGGTATATATATTTTACCTGTGCTTTAAACATTTTAATGTTTATGTTTTATACATAAAAGTATAATTGATCTTTTATTTACTTACAAGTATATTTATAAAATAAATTAAAAATATAATATTCCAGCAGTTTTTATACGCTTTTACGGTTCCTCTTGCGCTACAATTTTTGCTGCTCGGAATTGTAAGCTGACTTGATATAATATATTAAAATATTTCAATATATTATATAAACATCATATTTAATTTTATAGTAAACGATCGTCTTGTCTTTACGCATGATATTCGCGTTTCGCGCGATATAAAATTTATTCATGGTTACTATATTTTAAACCAATGCAATATACTTGCTTATCTTTTCAATATTTAACTACCGTATCTACATTACAATTAGTTACTTCAGATGCAAAAATTTCTAACCTATCATACGACGCAAATAATTATCTGCTAAGTTTGACATTTCAAGTTCGTCTTTTGATTTGTATTTTGCGAACAAAATACGTGTTCTGTACTTTTTGTATTATATCTAACAAATATCTAACAAATCTTAAGGGGGAAAATCGTTTATAATAAATTAAAAAAATTATATAGTGAAGATTCGAACATCAAAGAATAAATGTAAATTTCAAATATATGGCTGTTACATTATAATAAAAAAGAATAATTCCTAAAAAAATGGGTATAAAAAAATGGTTGTACTAAGAGCAAGAATACCCCCTTAAAGGAATAAATAAATTACTATTATATATCTGAATGAAAACAATTATATTAATATTTTTATTGTAAAAAAAAAACTTATATTTAAATTTCTCTCCTTAAAAATATGTTTTAAATATTTGTTTTAATTTGTTTTGTGTTTAACATTTAAATGCACGCAATTATCCATAGTGCGGTCTTTTATTCACGTTCAAAATATAGATATACTCATCGACGGTTAAGTGTATTTCTGTTGTATCCGGTTGATAAATTATATTTATCAATCGGTTTCGAACAAAAACAAACTGAAGAACAACAACAGGGATAAAATCAAAAGAAGAAGACAAAAGGCACTTCTGTTTCATCTTCGAAAATTATCAATTTTCTCATAATCGAGATAATGCATAAAATTGCTGACTGGATTTTCAATTTCCCGAACAATTTTGGTGGTGGCAGTGGCTTATTGACCCACTTGACTGAGGGACAGAGACGAATACAATCATAAAAGTGTAAATTACTTACCTTGCGTCGTAGATAAACCATATTGAATATCCACTTGATGAATATCTACTTGATGAAGAGAGAGGAAGGGAGAAAGATCTCAATAGAGAAAACACGATTGTAGCGGTTTGTTCACGCTGCTTCGAGCAGTATCCGTGCAGTTCATTCTACATGAAAACTCGCTCCGTTCTTGTACTTCTTTTTTTCCTTTCCTTTTCCTACAGGATTCGAATGTCATTCAATTTCGAATTTAAGAAACGAAGTAAACATCAAATGGACGCAGTATCGTTCACGTCAAGCAGTTGATTACAATGTATATCTCCACAGATAATAAGAAATGTAGAAAGAGTCGAGGATTGGGAAAGCAGAACTTGGAAAAGCAGTTCCACTGTCTTAAATCGGCTCACTAACTCGGACGACAACGGAGGCCGAACAGTTGTTGAGTATCCACGAATGGGAAAAACGAGCGTATTTATTTAGGTAAAACTTTCATTCGTTCACTCGCTCGCTCGTTCGTTCGTTCGTTCGTTCGTTCGTTCGTTCGTTCGTTCACTAATTACTGATTCGGTCGCCCAATCACGAATACAGCATGCTCGAATTAAGCGTCAGTTGATATTTTATTTATCAGCGAAGCATAAGGGGGAGAAAAAGAGAAAATGACAAACACATATGGGAAAGAGAGAGAGAAAAAACAAACAGAAAAAGAGGGAGACAGAAACGTACGACTTCTACGAACCAGCGTCTCTCCTTTTCTTCCCAATTGAACCGCTTGTCAAACGATAATATGTAATGATGAGAGAAGGAGAAGCTAGGAAAGGAAACAAGTTGATAATTTTATGTGTACGAGAAGGAAATGTCAAAATAACGACGGCATCGCATGATCGCTCGAGAAAGGGAAGGAAAAATTACGTCAAGGCACACACATGCTCGCTCGCGCGAATAAGGCGTTAAAAACATGTTGATAATCGCACACGCTCCCTCCGCGCCTGATAAGTATAGAGAAGCAGCACGCGCATATTGTTATTTGCAAGAATCGAACGCTCGATCATTCGATTCTCAAAAGTATACGACCGTCATAAATATTTATTGTGGAGGCGTGGCCCCACGTACACGAAGGAGGTCGATTGTATATCTCCAAATAAGGTGAAAATTACAAAAGTGAGCAAATTCACTAGAATACTTATAATTTAATTGGTCAATAACTAGTGAATTTGCTCATTTTTGTAATTTTCACCTCATTACAAAATACGCAATCGACTCCCTGATCGAAAGACGTAATGATTTTTATTGCGATTCGTGGGAGGTTTAAAAAAACGATATAACCTCCTGCTAGGACTCCGGCAAGTTACAAAAACATTTTATCGAAATTTTGGATGTAGTAATTAAAGTTATAAAAGATGTCAATTTACAGCGTAATAAATGTCAAGTGTATATGAACACAAATTAAATAAGCAATGAAATTAAATAAGAAATAAAAGAATTTATCCTTTTATTGAATAAGAAAAAAAATTGCGACTGCTAAAAATTACAGTTTGTTTAGATCCCCATAGCAAATAACGTCATAATTACGTCACAACAATCATGATGACGTACGTGCGAATGGTCGCTTTATCACAAATGTGATATGTCACAGCAATGTCACGGTGATATACTTACGTGTAAATGTCTGCTTTGTAACATGTGTTATTTTGTTGTGACAATCTCACAGTGACATCATATTTTCGTCCTGACTATATTTGTGAATCTATTGTGACGTGAATATGATGACCCTTTGCTATGGGGGGAAGTTCCGATAGGCTCAAAACTAAATTAATTTTCTTTCCCTCCTTTTCTACTACTACACTATAAACAGTAGAAGAAATTTCAATATCAATGATTTGTATGAGATACTAAAGTACTATAATAGACAATAACAATTCAATAAAATTCACTTACATCATCAAAAGCCGCGGGTATATCGGTCTCCACGCGGTCTAAGGTTAAGCAATCTAAATTTAATGACATATTTCTGGTACGCCGATTTGCGAATCCTTTCGCAACGCAAACAGCATCATTTATATATGTAATAACGCGCAATAGCGCGTCGATTGAAGTGTTATGTTTCTATTTAAATGCGTTTACTGGATACTTTAAACGCAGAAAAAAGATTCGATAATTACCAATAAAAAATACAATTTTTTAAAAAGTAAAAAAAATGGTTCGCTTAAATGGAATGTTTATTTCTTTAACTGATTCAACAAAAGATATGTACGTTTTCTAGGGCTGTGTTCAGATTCCTCTCCCGAGCACCCAGATACCCAAAAAGCGTTCAGATTCCTTTTGAGTGCTTTTATTGGACGCTTAGGTGGAACGTTCAGATTCCTACTCTATTCACTTGGGAGGATGGAAAAACCATCCGTGAGCTGGGTGAAATGGGTGGTAGTGGCGTATTAAAGACTTCCTGTGCTCCCAGCACGTTTGACGTTTGCATCTATACGAAAATTTAAATTTCGGGTTATGCCTGTTATAAACAGTATAAATCAACGAGGCCAAGGATGCTTTCCAGCAAAGACGTAGTCAGACACTGTGTAACACAGTGATCAGTTCATCCTTGTTGTTTGCCAACGTTAAACAAGGATGAAATGACTCACTGTGTTAAGCCTGATTTATATTGGCCGTAACCGTATGCCGGTAACTTAAAGACTGTAAACTTATGCCATAAATTTTGATGTTCTGGTTTATAATGATTTGCTGCATGCCGTAAACCTGCATATCGTACAAATGTGGAAATCTTTCTACTAAAGTTATTAATTTGATATCTCTATTAACTGTTTCGTTTATTTCCATCTTAGCTCGTATCAAAGCTGTACAGAAATGATATAGAATCGGTCATAGTGATCAACAAGTACAGACTTGTAAATTTTGACTAACCTCTACATGATCACTTGCCACTAAAGATAAAGTTGAGTTAATTTTACGGATACAGCATAAGTTACCAGCATCCGGCAAGTTAGTATGAACGGAAGCACTGAAATCCTATGGTTTAACTTTACCGGCACCGGCATAAGTTAATGGTTACGGCCATTATAAATCAGGCTTAACACAGTGTCTGACTGTGTCCTTGCTGGAAAGCACCCCAAGTATTTTAATTCATTATATTAGTCACTATTAAAATTTGCTTTAGGAAATTAATGAGGTGGTATTCTGTATAAATAATGACAAGCATATCTTTTATTTAAAAAACTATTTCCTTATATTTATCGTGATAACAATGTCTTCTACAATCTTACTATTTGCAGGAAATGGTCTCGTGGAAAATCTTATCAGAGTTACAAAAATGATAAACCAATTTTTTTACTAAAGAAAACAAAAATGAGTGTAATAGAAATACTATACTATCTTTGAAAAGAATCTCAAGGATCCATAATCGCCGTTCTTTCGTTTATGATGAAGTCTGTTATATACAACAATTAAATATGTATGTGTGAATTTATTTCTTTCATGGTTTACTGACGAAATTTTTACTTGATGAGAAAGTACAGTATATATACAGGGTGATTACTAATGGTTGTACCAACTACTTACCATAAGACTTACCTACTGCATGAGTTACCGACTGCACTTGTAATTTACTAAACGCTCCTTAGATGGCAGTTGCTTCGTCCGGCGCGCGAGCAGGTCCGACGTACATACAAAGGCCCTTGGAGAAAAATTTTTCTCAGATTTTATTTGTATAATTTTTCAGAATATCTGTGTGATTTTATAATCTTTACAGATTTTTTTATAACAATTGGAATACTTTTCATAAGTATTTAGAATGTCTACATCTTTTTTCAGAATTTTTAAATTTGGTAATTATGAAGTATCCTAAGATTTTTATTATTTTTTGTTCTACAAATTTCTGATAAAGTGTTATAAAATCTAAAATAGTTAAAAGTATTTTTTTTAAATTGTGGAATGAGAAATCTCAGAATATTTCAGAATTCGCATGTATGAAAAATTCAAAGAGAAGATGTACACTTTCCAAGTAAATCTAATGATTTCTGAAAAATGTTCCAATTTGTAAGGATTATGAGAAAAACTTTTATCACACAGATATTCTGAAAAATTATACAAATAAAATCTGAAAAAAATTTTTCACCAAGGGCCTTTGTATATACGTCGGACCTGCTCGCGCGCCGGACAAAACAACTGCCATCTAAGGAGCGTTTAGTAAATTACAAGTACAGTCGGTAAGTCATGCAGTAGGTAAGTCTTATGGTAAGTAGTTGGTACAACCATTAGTAATCACCTTGTATATATAATATAAATAATTGAGTTTGTTTTTAGACAATGTTATCTATGGATATCATCAATATATATATATCAATATATATATAGATATATATTGATGATATCCACAGATAACATTGTCTAAAAACAAACTCAATTATTTATCGCAGATTATACGATCTTAGAAATTACAGAACATATATGTAGATCCATATGTGTATAATAATCATTAAATGAATAAACGTACATATTTTATAAATTAACGCAAATTGCTTTCACGTCTAGAAGAAATACTTAAATATTTGTTAGATGTATGTATGTATATAATATCTCTTGACATACGTGTATGTACATAAAATCGTCTGTCCGTCTTTATTGAAAAATGACAAAAATAAAGAATAAATATTAAAATTTTTCTTCTTGAAGTGTATTTAAATAATAATAATATTTACAAATTAAGAAAATAACACGTACTAACAAATGTTCTTCTTTATTGTATATTTTTATGTTCAAAGTTTATTTCTCCGAAATCTGAATACTCCAATGTTAGACTGCGTTCTCAAACTTCACTCGGATAGTACAATAAATGTAGAAAGCCTTAAGCCATAAGGAATTGACCAATCACAGTTGAAAGTGAAGAAAATTAGTTGAATATAATTAAATTTATGATTAAGTTGATTTCTTACTACATATAATTTCTTTACTACACATAATTAGATCCGGGCTTAATTGATTAACTTTTTACGATTTTAGGTTTACTATATTCATTGTACTACACCTACTACACCCATACTATACCCGGGCTTTGTTCGTTTTCGTAATGTATAAATCTATTGAATTACCAAATAGTGACTTTTCCTAAATGAAAATAATAATGAAGACATCTTCCCTAAATAATTTCTAATCAATTCCATTCATAAAATACATTAAATAAAATCGCTGTCTGCTAACTTGACACATGATAAAATTTATTAATTATATATAGACATAAATAAATCAGAAATATTCAATTTGTCTGCTATCTTGTCAGTGGTATGATCACTCATCCGATGAGGAATCTGAACGTAGCTTTACAATAATATAATGTAACACAGTGAGTCATTACATCCTTGTTATTTATCAACGTTAAAGCCTATTCTACAATGGGTACTTTCCATTTAGAGTCCTATCTGGAGACACGGTAGTGTCTCGGCGCTAAACCAAGCGCAGCGACACTGCTGTGCCTCCTTTACGCGAACCGACGAGTTGCGGCAGATTGAAACAATCGGATCTCGGTAACGACTGAATTGATCAGGTTCTATATATGCTCAATCGATAGGCACCACACGGATTGTGTGATAAAAGTGCTTTCATTTTTTTTCTACGTGCCCTACGAGCGGAGATATCGCGACGCAAAGTCCGGATCTGTGAATTTTCACCTCATTTTAAGAAACGTCATCATTATTATAATATTATGTCCGTCGTTATTGTCATCGTCGACCGAGAGAAATATCCATCTCGTTTTTTTCGATAATAGATGGCTTTTGACTTAACCTAGCGATGGCAGCATTGCACATTCGAATGTGAACAACCACATATGTGAACAACGACGGCTGTGATAATCAGCGATGGCAATGTTGTCACATATATACAATGTGATGCGCGCGTGGTGCAAAAATACGATGTGACTCAGGCCGGAATCAAACTACGCATTGAATATTGAGATTGAAGATTAAAAGATTGAAATTTGACCAATCAAAACAATAGGAGCTAAAATT